CAGGACTTCACGAATTCGAAAATTCAGAAGTTCGGAAATGAATCTGCAATTTTCGATGTTTTGGAGGCTCACAAATTGGGCAATAACGGACTTCAAATTACTAAAATCTCATAAAAAATTAAATAAATAATTCACCTGTTCTTCGGAAAGTTTGTTTAATTAATCTTACAAATATTCTCGTTAATTCCCCTCTGAAATTTTCAAACTCAGTCAATTTGATTATTTCTAGAAGACTCTTACAACAGTATTTACCGTTTTAAAAACGTATTCTGATTGGGTAATTTCTATGTTTCCAAGCCTTTCGCAAAAGGCCTTCTTGTTAGAGGGCCCTTCTAATAGAGGTTTTACAGCAAATACAAACTTACCATGAGGGAATGACCTCATTTATTCGATCAACATCAGCATAGAAAACATTTGAAACCTCGGAAAAAAATCTGAGCAATGAAGAATAGAGAAGATATTTCGAGTAAAAAGAGATATCAAATGTAAGAGAAGGTGTGCGTCAATCAAGAAAAGTGGGAAAATAACAGCTGTCCGATTTGAACAGGTCTCCACTGAAACCTTGTGTGCAGAGATTCGATAAACTACACAGGTATTAACAAATAAAGTATTTCAGACCTAGTAAACCCCCGATCACTGATTTCAAAAGTGGCATTTTTAGAAAATTGAAATTGTATACTGTAGCCCATAAAAATAGCTATAAATTGATATAAAATTTGACGATTTTACTTCTCAAAATTTTGGAAGCTAAATACAAAGTTTGCAATATTGAGGATCATGATTTGGGAATTAAGCCAAAAAACTCAGGCCGTTGCAATATAAAGTTCCAAAAGATCCTTCAACATTTTTAGACCTCCCTATTTTTTTAACAGGACCATTTAGTCCAAGGCTTTTGTTTCGAAAACAGCGAAAACCGCCTCCAAAATTTTGCATCACTAACTAACATTTTACAACAATCCTGTTCACAAAAGTGTCTAGAAAAAGAAAAGTAAGTGCAGAGAGAAAGACACCTCGTTTTCTATTATTTTTCTCCCCTACAACTTTTCCCTCTCTTTCTATTCCGTCATATGTCGATCGGACTCATGAATTAGAGATGGGACATCCCACGGCGGCGGGAGACTTGCAACAGGAGAAGAGCTGAACTCGATCAACGAGACACAAAAATATGTGGAAGAAAAAATATTTTTATGGTATTATGCATGAATGTGTGCGAGAGAAAAATATGTGATGACGTGATTTCAAAGGAGCAGATGTGTTTGCAATAAATATTTACTGTACCGGTCAATAAGGTATACCGAAATGTGTTTTTTCAATATTTTGAACATTTTCAGGAGTCTGAAGCTCAGCTGTCAACCTTCCGATCAGTTTGAAAACTCAGTTTGAAAACATACAAGAATTGAAAGAATTCCCGAAATTTCTTGAAACTTCCTAGTTTTTCCCTTCGCCGATTTTTGAAATACACCTCATTTTTTCCAGATTTCCGTACAAAAAACGGGTAAAAGGAGTGTCTTTCAGAAAACGGAAAGTAGCTGGAAATCTAGGAATTTTCGAAAAATTCTGTGAATGCAAATATTTCAATCTAGGTCGGTTTCACACCCTCCAAAAGTTTCAAAGTTTTCGAAAACTCGACAGCCGAGCTCCAGAACCTTGAAAATGGTCAAAAGCTGCCGTTCTTTTGAAGCTCTACCGTCAAATTTGATCCCATATATGTATATCATTTCCTGTAAATAATATCAAAAAGTAGTCAACTAACAAATCATTCACCATCCTATCAAAAATATTTTACCAGTGAAATATTACCAACATTTTTGTAGTTTGGCCAATCACCACTTTCTGGTATTTTTTACAGGAACAGAGCTAAATCGGCTCGAAGTTGAGGGACCAATCTATCAGGGTGTTTACAGTTTTAAAAAAGTCCCTTCGAAAAAATCAATGGAACATTCTAGCAAAAAAAGAAAACGCAAAAAATTGAGTATGCATGACTTCTGAATTCCTTTTCGCAAGTAGTAAGTTCAGCAGAAGAATGCAAATGTTTTTGTCTCAAGGAACGAAAAGTACGGAGGACTGAGGAGCAGGTGCAAAACCTTTAAACTCAATTTCTAATTTCTATCTCAAAAAAGCTGTCAAGTTTGTTTTCGGCGTAAAAAAGTCGATTAGTGCCTTTTTGAGAAAATGAGGAAATCGAGATAAGAGAGACGTCGTTGTTTGTGTATGCTCCAGAAGAAGAAGGCTAACTCCTATCCTATCTAGGATCAAATATCTTCAAAATTCAGGAGTAGGATGACCCTCTTCTTATTCTTGGGACATTTTGACGGCACGGGAATGTGTAGTGTGGACAGGCAGACAGAGAAAAAGGTCGAATTACGAACGAACACATCTTGATTGATTGAAAAATCTGGAGAGAGAAATTGAAAGAGCAAGAAATCAGTTTAAAATGTGTGATGGAAGGGAAAAAGCAATTAATGACACACCACGACAGACGAAACATGAGAATTTGAGAGGAATGAAAAAGAATGAGCTAGTCGCAAAATATTTTGTCATTTTAATCAAGAGAAAAGAGGTCAATTGTACTAATACAAGTTCTCACAGCGTGAAAATTTTTGATTAGAAAACTAGAGAAAAAATGTCTCTGCGTCTCTTCATCTCTCACGCTATTCTCTGTGCAATTTTTCGCAGGTTTAATTGGAAAACTGGATGAACAGCTAAGAACGTCCCAAAAACGTTCAAAAATGAATATTTCAAAAACTTATTTCACGGATGATAGAAATCATATCCGAGATTGTCTGTAATAAGTTTGAGCACTTTTCTGAAACTATCAAGCAAGATATGAAGCTTTGAAAACATTTAAATAAAAAAAAATTGCCGCCAGCAGGGGTCGAACCTGCGACCTTGGGCTTATTAGACCCACGCTCTAACCGACTGAGCTCGTTGCTTTTTATAGCCATTTTGTTGCGTTTTCTAGCCTTTTTTGTTGATCTCTTCTACTGTTCCCCTCCCTTTTAATCCCACATTGTCATTCTATTTCCTATTCATCTCACTTATTATACCATAAATAAATCGGAATTCAATTTCTTTCAAATAATCGAAACCTAGCATTGGGGAATTGACTTTGAAATGTATTCGCTATTTTGTACAATATGCGGCGCATAAGGAATGGCTACTGGATGCATCACGGGTTCGGCGTAATGTGCCCCATATGCCCCGTACATGCCTCATATCGGCGCCCTTTCCCTGTACCCAAATCTTCGGCGCGTCCTCCGTCGCCCATCCATTATGCGTATGCGCGCCCAGGACCTGTGGAGCTATGGCGGCCGACAAGTAACAAGGTGAAGAGTGCCTTTAGAAAACCGGCAACGAAAATTGAAATGAACAGGGTATGAGAGTAGGAGAAGAAACGAAGAGATAGTGATCGCACACAGTTTTCTGTTTGTATGTGTCTGGTAAGGCCCGGAAGGAAGTAGTAAAAAGAAAAAGTAAGTAAAAACTCAAAAAAGAGAGCATTTAAAAGTTGGTGCAACAACAAAGGACGCTTTTGTTTCAAAAAGTGTCCGGAAGAAGAACGTCAAAAATCAGCACCAAGGGAATTCGAGGGAAAAAAGGATTCTGGAGGTCATTCCGGGGCTCTTTTTTCGGTCGTGTTCTTCTGGGGGAATGACGGGTGTCACATCACACACAAGAAACGGCAATGTATGCGAATTTGTTTGTAAAAGAAGAAGAAGAAGATATGACAAATGATGGATGGTGACAAAACAAAGAAGACAATGTGCAGGGATGAACGGGAAAACCATAGAGCTCCGTGGTGATGTGGTGACTCTGGAATTCAATTATAGAGAGATTCTGTGTGCGTGTTCTGGCTGATGTTGGATTCCGGGATGGATGTTTGGTTAATCATCACTATATAGTACACCGTAAATACGAATACCATGGTCCCTAACTTTGAGACAATTTTTCTTGGTTCCTGGGAGAGATATACGAAAGGGGTAAAATTTAAAAAAATGTTTCTGGAATTATCATAAACATTTTGATTCCAATTCATCTTGGTTCTTGTAGGAGATGTCCAAAAATAATAAACTGAAATAACACTTTTGATACTATGCTGAACATTTTCTCAGTTTACCGCTTTTTGATATCTTTAAAATGAATCGAGGTAATTGAGCTCAAAATTGATAGCTTAGGGCGTAGAGTGTTCTTGGATGCTTTAAATTGGTTTACTGATGTGATAAGATATGATGACCTAAAAATCCAAATCAAAAGTTTCGGGTCCAAAAACGAATCCAAAACAATCGCAACTCAATTATCGGAATTAACCTAATTTGAGAGAATTGTGAAGAAATTATAAAAAGGCTAACTAAAAAATGTTCCAGGATTTTTCAAAAATATTTTTTTGCAGATTTTATAAATTCTATAAATCAAACCTTCAAGAATCTATTGTTGCTATCATCATATGTTTTTGTGTGTTTTTTCTAGAACTTTTCTAGAAACTGTTTTCATCTAAATGTTGCTTTTTTCCTCTTTCTAGGCATCAATCCATATTCAAGTTGTTCTCTTCTCTCATGTTCCACTTTCTTTCTTCTTTATCTCCTAATCACACTATTACGTCCAAGTCGTTTGCTAGTCTATCTCTGATCGATGATCGTTTTTCCCAACAATCCAAATTATTGGAACATACATTAAATAACCAGATCAAAGACATTAGTTCCATGTTCCTCATTTTTACAAAGATCAAAAATTCTATCATCTTATAATGTTTTTATGATACCATCACTTTCAAAAATACTATGTAGACTTTTGATTTTGTCCTCTAGTCTCCCCTGCAGAATACTGATCTCATGACGTCGCACCTTTTCGTACTATGCCTAAACTTTGGTATTCAGAAGCCCTTTTTTCAGCGGCTCCGTCACTCCGCCTTTCATATCTCTTCGTCAAACTGGTCTGACCCCAATTCCAAAGAGTTTATAACCCTCGAAAAATGTGAAAATTGAGCTGAAAATTCTCCAAAAATGAGCGAAATCTCTAAAAATGACCAGCCGACAAGAGTGGGTTCCTGGTGCAAGAAGTATTTGTTGGAAGGTGAGTGAAGAGTTTGTGGCCTAGAAAATCCAACTTGCAAAGTTTTCTAGGCCAGCAATTAGACGAGAAACACGCAGAGAAGATCATGAACTTTCCTGTCAACCCAACATTCGCTGATTACATTCTTATCAAGTATCGCAAGTTTGTGGCAGTGCTGATCCCGTTTTGTCTCATTCATGTGAGTTTTTAAAATTTTAGATTTGTTTAAAGTTCAAATAACTTGGCTTCACCGAAGAAAAATTCGAAGTTACAGTTGTTCTCGAAAATAGTTTATTTCAATTATTTGAAAAAATAAGGTTCAAGGTAAACTTCTGAAAATTGTAAATAAATATTAAGAAGCAGACATAAATTCTTGTAGTTCAAAACTGTTATGTAAAATCACTGGATAAAGTGCAGGTGAGAGACACAGACAACGATACTCTCTAACTGTCTGCGTCTCTTCGAAACGTAATCGTTAACTTTGAGCCAATGCACCTCGATCACTGTAATGGATACCAAAAAGGGATTAACTGATAAAATATTTTTGACTTTATGTAAAACATTATGTCAGTTGACCACTTTTGGAAACCTTTTACAGGAAAGCGATATGGGCTCACAGTTAACGGTTTGCATAGAAGAGGAAATACTGTGAAGGCCGGTGGCCCAGCTTTGGTGGTGCGACTACAAAACCGCCTATCTCACTTGGTTGGATTTTCACAAAAAAATTTTCAATTATAAAAATGAAATTCTTTTTTTGTTCAGTATTTTCTGAAATTTTCAGACAAATTGCAACATTTCAGACTACTTTTTCAAGACTTTAGAATTATCAACTTTCCACCAAATTGACATATATAGTTCAAAGAGCTTAATTATCTTAGTTCCTATGAAAGATAATAAAAACATGTCAACTGATAAAACACTGGAGATATTGGGATGAACATTTTATCATGTAATATCTTTTTGACATCTCTAATGAGAATCGAGATAATTGAGCTCAAACCGCACAAGTATTGAGAGCCGTTCAATTACAATTAAAACTTTGATACTTTCAGTCTATCTGGTGGGCGACTGCATTCAAGCATGACTTCTTCCAATACTATCCAGAATATTGGCACATGCCAGTCACAATGGTGGTTGGAGCCCTTATCTCCGGGATGACTGCCGAAGGAGCCGGTGCTGTCGCTTTTCCGGTTATGACCTTAGTTCTTCATCTGGCTCCATCGATCGCCAGAGATTTTGCGTTAATGATCCAGTCGATAGGTAAGTGTTTGTTCCTCCAGATTTCTTCATTGCTCATCAATTGTAGGAATGATGGCTGCCCTTGTCTGTGTGGTTTTCATGAAGGTCAAATTCGATGAGCGTGCAGTGATATATGGAATAGCCGGAGCCATACCAGGTTTCATTTTTGGAGTGCATTGTGTAAATCGGCTGACTTGACACCCTTGACACCAACATACTTTTCAGATTGACCCACTATTCACTGGAGCTCAGAAGAAAATGCTTTTCGTTTCCATCTGGACCTCATTCGCGTTTGCTCTAGGGATTCTGAACGCACAAAAGAAGCGACCAACGTTTGTGAAGATTCCAGAGTTTTGTGTCTGGAAAGGATTACTGTTGTTTTTAACTGGAGTTGTTGGAGGAGTTTTTGATGCGTTTGCTGGGAGTGGAATCGATATTTGCATGTTTTCCACGTTGACTCTCCTGTTTCGAGTTAGTGAGAAAACTGCAACACCGACGACAATGATACTGAAAGGTGAGCCAAAATGTCCCGAAAGAACAACCAGGCTGAAGTGGGCCGACTAATGGCCGGCGCTTCATATTTAGAATTTCTGTTCAAATCAAATAGGGAAATTTAGAACTCTGCGAGATCTACAAAATTACATTAAATTTGACTATAATGAAAAGCCGCTTTTCAAACCAGAAAAGACAAACTGGCGCAAATATATATTTTTCCGACTGGCCATTTTCACGGCCTCTAGCTTGAAACCCAATTTAGGAATATAGTCGCATTGACTGTCATTTTGTAGATTTTGTCAAGTTCTAGATTTTACTCGGCAATTCGAACTGAATTTTAAATTCTGAACCGATTGATGAGCCGACGCGTCGCGGAAACCCCTTGAAAATATTAATTCTTCCAGGCGTGGTCTCAATGTTTGGCTTCTACTACCGAGCTGTTCAAATGGGTGATATCTCGGAAATCGCCTGGAAATATTTCACATGCACCATACCGGTAGTTGCAACAATGGGTGAGCCACTTTCTATTAATAGTAAGACACATTCTCTGACAGAACCAAACATAGTGCTACAGAAAAATTAAAACTTGTTTTTTCTGGCTGATTTCCCGTATATTGCATGTTTATGGACTTCTAAAGTATATGAGATATAGTTTGTCTCGACTTGTCCCACACCTGCAAAAATATGGTCGTGGGGTGTCTAAAAAATATTTTTTTCAAAAGTGAAATAATGATCAGGTCTTATTGTAGAACGTTTTTTGAAAATTTTGTTCCACTATTTTGAAAGTTTTTTGTATTGGCACTATATTCATATTTTTCCATCTTCCCTGGAAAAATTTTAATTTTTTGCAAAAAAGCTGTTTTTTGGACCAAAAAATGATCGTCCTGAAAAAAATTTCCATTATTTTATAAAATTAAACATGAAATTCAGATTCTACATTAAAAAATACATTAGAAACCGTTTTGAGATAAAAAATAAACATGAGCCCCTATGAGTTTTAGGCCAAAATGTGCCTAAAAATGAGGTTTCACCATGTGGGGGAGTACATGGCAACAAAAATTTGACCAAAATCGAACTTCTCCGATTTTGTTCAAATTTTCACCAGACGTAGTATAATTGATGGGTATTATTCTGGCAAAGTTTCAGAATTTGTGCTCATTGTCTTCGTGCATTTTCAGAAGCACCAAAAAAGCGACAAAAATTGCTTCCGAGTCCATTTTCAATGAGAAATACGAGCTCCAGAAATACACGAAGACGATGAACACGGATTCTAAAACTTTGCCAGAATATCCATCAAAAATACTACATCTGGTGAAAATTTGAATAAAATCGGAGAGGTTCGATTTTGGTCAAATTTTTGTTGCCATGTCACAGGTAAAATGCGAACGCATCCGTTACGGACGCTCAGCGTTCGAGCGCGGTTGAAATAGGAACCGCGTACGGACCGCACGCGACCCGTTTTCCGAAAACCACAGAACATTATTCCGTAATTCCTCCATATTCTGTCCGATCGCGAACTCCGTATCCGATCCGCTTGCGAATGATGGACAAACGG